TTTGATTTGATTGTTCAATTAATGCACAATATTTTAGGCTACACTCTAATACCAAGTGGAATCAAGAACCAGCTGCTGATGCTGGAAGGTTACACCTTTGCCCAATCGAGAAGTAAACGTTATTGGTACTGTTCAAAAAAGAAGGTTGGCTGCAGAGCCAGGATCAAGATGGACCTGGACTTTGTTACCATCATACAAGCCTGCAAGACACACAATCATGAGCCACCAGACTATTATGTCACTGAAACCGGAGAATACATTTTTTTGAGACAAAAGTCACGAGTGTTAAAATTTTAATTTTATTTTCAACATAAAATATTTTAATGGCCAACTCAGTTGTAGCTGAAACTTTGAAGATAACCTATATAGGTTAGGTTAAACTGCTCGTACGTACGTAAAGTAAGTACGTACGTAAAGGAACGTAAAGAGCAGTTTTTTATGTATAAGTGAATTATAATATAATTGTAGGTACCAAAATAACATATATCGTAAAAGTATTAGACATTTCGAGCTATGTTACTATACATTTTGAACTTCTTTATAATCATTTCGAACTCAGTTTTCTTTCTATTTCCATCCAGTTTATCTTTATTAACTTATTAGTGATTGTCTATACTATTTTATCAGTGTTTTATGTAGGATGGTGTCCAATAAATATTTGTATTGATTCTTTAGTTTTCTAGAAATCTTTGTATAAAATGTATTTGGAAACAAACAATAAACTTTAATAGTAACAAGTTGATTACAACTCTTATTTTAGATCCCATCTTCATACCGACTGGTTTCAAGAACATGTTGCTCATGCTCGGAGGGTTCACTTTTGCACAAGTCGGCAAAGGACTCTGGTACTGCTCACGAAAGAAAATTGGTTGCAAAGCCAAAGTGAAAATGCACCCTGATGGAGTGACAATAATTAAAGCTTTGAACTTTCACAATCACGAAGCTCCTCAGTACGTCATATCGAATTCTGGAGAGTATATATTCACGAGGTCTTGGTCCAAGAAGTGAGAAATAGGTTTTAAGGACTGTTCTATCCATTTGGGCGTTACTCTATGTCAAAAAATAAATGTGAAAACTATCATTTGTTTTTTTATCAACCCGTGCATCAGGTTGTATCTCTTTGGCCCACCGTTCATGCCAACACTCACACTCATACGGCGCCAATGTCACTTAGACATTGGTATGTTCGGATCCATCTTCCCTTGTTTACGTCTATGGTAGAGACAGTAACTGATGTACGAGTCGCGAAAAGAATTGCGGAGACACGTGCCCACCATTGTCAAAGCGACGCAGTGTCGTAAAAGAGTGCGAGTGTGCAGCGGGCATTAACATTTGAAATTATAATCATATTATGTTGTTCTATTTAAATTGTTTGCTTAATTAATGTACAATATTTCAGGTTATACTCTGATACCGGGTGGATTGAAGAACCAGTTGCTGATGCTGGGAGGTTATACCTTTGCCCAAGCGCGCAGTAAACGGTATTGGTACTGTTCTAAGAGGGCTGCTGGATGTAAAGCTAGAATTAAGATGCATGTTGACGAGGTGACAATAAAGGAGGCTATGACTGAACATATTCACGACCCTATTCCATATCATGTCACGAAAACTGGCCAATATGTTTTTCTGAGACAATGAATTTGAGGTCAAAATCAACCACGATCAACGTTTATAGTACGATACAAATGTGTGTAGTGCCTAGTCCAAATTTGTTTTACGTTATGCGATCGACACGTTTAGATGTTCGACGCTCTGATTGGCCTGTTCCAAGTTAACCAACCAATCTAAAGGCAGAACGTTTCGATCGCGTTAACGTAAAAATAACTTGCTCTCGGTACCCAGTTATAATTAGCTTTCTGCTCGTAGCTTCGTAGGCATAGAAAAAGACATATAAACCTTCTTCTTTAATCACTGTCTATTAAAAAGAGGTATCTTAATCCGTTGCGTAGTTTTATACTAATATGTAGTATGTGATATGTTTAATTAGAAGCTAAATTCTTTTGTTAAAATATTTTCTGAAATTGCTTCAGTGACATTAGAAGTATGTACATAATTATATCAGTATAGTTATAATTATATTATTATTATACGTATTGTTATATTATACGTATTATTCCATTCTCCGAGTGATTTTAAATTTGAATAGAGTAAGATGAAAAATTATGTTCGAAAATATAAACGTAATTGTATAATATGCAACTGTTTATTATTTAAAAAATATTTACCGGTTATTTTATTTATTTTTACACACTTTATTTTACAACATAAAAACACAAAGAAAACTTATACATTAAAAAGAACGTGTACAATGGACGGTCTTATCGCAGAATGTGATTTCTTGTAAGAAATCCATTTCTACATCCAATGTTGCCTACCTTTGAATGGAGCCAGTAATCAGGAGCTGGGAAAAAAATATCTAACTAAAAAGTTATCTACCTCTTCATCTATTACTTTTTTATACATGGTAATATTTTGATTGTCTTTTGTATTTTGACTGTCTTTTTATTGCGTTTGGATTCGTCTAAGACCAAGTTTCGTTGGGGTAAATATTTAGAAACAGATTGACGAAAACGTCTAGATATTTTTGTGAAATATAGGATAAGAAAGAAAATTATGTTCTAAAACATAAAAGTTACTAACAGTCTTTTACTTTAGGAATGCTTTTGTTTTTAAAAAAAACTTTTCAATTTATTTCTAGATTACATTCTTATACCAGGTGGTTTGAAAAACAATTTGTTGATGCTGAATGGTTACACATTTGCACCATCGGGGAATAAACGCTATTGGTACTGTTCTAAGAAGAATGCGGGATGTAGAGCCAAGATTAATATGGCAGATGATGGAGTAACCATACGGAAAGCTGTAAATGAACATACCCACGATCCTCCTTCATATTATATTACAAAATCTGGTGAATACATCTATCTAAGGGACAAGCCACGCTGAATGTTGGAACCTGTATAAATGCACGGTTGCCGCGGTGGCTGGGCAACTGGCTGCCGCGCAACGTGTCGCGGGTTCGATTCCCGCACGGAACAACTCTTTGTGTGATCCACAGATTGTTGTTCCGGGTCTGGGTGGCATGTGTTTGTGATATTGTATGTTTGTGAACGCACCCACGCACACAGGAGAAAATTCTAGTTTGGGGCAAAAAAAAAAAGAAAAAAATAGAAAAAAAAATACATTCGGTTTTTCTTTATTACTCGCATGAATGTAAATTTTATAGCATGTTTTTATTATTAAATGGTTTTTCTTAGCTTGCTCCGGTTGTTTGTTTGGGTCAAATTTAATCATCAGAATTTTACACCTTTCCTGTTGACAGAACTACCCATTATGGATATCAAACGTTAGTAGAATAGATCTCATTAAATTTAACATAAAAAAAATTGTACAAGAAGTTGCTTCCGTGATGTAAGTTAATCATATTTTCCGTTTGGGTGTCCATCACCGGCGCTGATTGCTTACCATCTAATAATTCGCCTGGTCGTTAGCCGACGTGGAGAACCTAACGGGTAACCGGGGCTCCGGCTCGATATGCAGGAGAAGGAACGGGGTGGTTTTTAGTCAGTAAGAGTCTGACACTCCCTCCCGCCTCACCCAGGCGGGAGCAGTTATTCGATGATTTTCCCCCCTTAACCCTTTAACCGCCGACAACGTAATATTACGGTTTTCGAAAGCTGTGTCCGAATCGCCACATACGTACAATCACGTTATTTTATTAAAAATCTTCTTATAGTGCACAAACTCCATATAAAATGTGTCAATTTCAAGATGTAGGGTATAATCTTTATTGTTATGGATATTTCTCAATGTTTTGAGTGATAAATACTGTGAAATTTGAGGTTTAATTAAATTGTGGTCACCGTCTCCATTATCTGTATCGCCAATCACGTAATTTTACGAGTACTAGGGATGGGGCGAATTCGAAAAATACTTAATAGGTTGTCTAAGAACAAACAAGGCACTATAGATATTACTGTCACTATTTGCAATGAAAGTGTATACTTTCATTAGAAAATAACCATAGTGTTACTTTGATGCAAGTATTTGTACTAATTAAAATGTATTTAAGTTTAAAATTATTTAATATTTATAACAATAATATAAAAATTTCATAACGCAGAACCGCACTAGTGCGGACAATCGCCGGTCGCCATCATCGTAATATTACGTGCGGCCAAGGAGATTATAGCGCTGTATTGTGAGTTGCCTTAGCGCCGTCACCGTAAAATCACGTTAAACATTTATCACTCAATGCAACTAGTGTTGTAACCCCTTTTTTGGGTTTTTGTTATTTCTCAAATAAATCAACACAGTCAAAACCAAATGTGTCCATTATGCAAAGTTAGAAGATGGTGACGCAAAAGTTTTTGATCAGAGACCAAGTGATCCACGAAATGAATACTTTGCATCTTTAAAACCTTTTGAGCTGGAAACCGTACTGTCGGAAATCCGCTCAGAAGTTTACATGAAATTATTAAATTTAATACGACATGCTCGTGGAGCATCGTCACCGTCGCCAGCAGGAGAACGGACGACGCCGTACCCATTTCCCGAATACACATTTTCGTATACTTCGTTTGAAGATTGAAAATTTTTAGATTATTTATTAAGTAGGTAAATAAAACATTGATTTTAATTAATAAAGAATATATTCACCGATATTAAGTGTTCTCAACACTGTTCCAACTTATACCTAAAGTGACGTGGCGCTGGAGGTAAGTTGAAAGTTCAGAATCTTAGCGGTTAAAGGGTTAAAAAACCCATAAAAAGACCTTTTATGAAAGTACAAGAGTAAGAATAAAATTATACATATTATATTATGGAATATATATTCCAAAATACAGACATGATTTGTCATTGAACTGTAGTTATTTAAGTTGTTTTCACCATCCATTTCTTTCTTTTTATTATATTGATCATTATTTTTATTACGTTATCCTGCTCTGTCTCTGAAATTGTTTCTTTTAAAAGTAAAGTTTTTTTCCAGGCTACACCCTCATACAAAGTCGTTACAAACACAAGTTGCTGATGCTGAATGGTTACACATTTGCATCATCAGCGAGTAAACGCAATTGGTACTGTTCCAAGAAGAATACTGGATGTAAAGCCAAGATTCATATGGCTGATGATGGAGTAACCATACGGGAAGCTGTGAATGAACATCATCACAAGCCTCCTTCATATTATATCACAAAATCTGGTGAATACATCTTTCTGAGGAATAACTAGATATGTGCGTTTTCGTATTTTTTCAGTTTTCGTATCGATATCGAAAACCGTTTTCAAATATCGACACGATTTGCATAAGTAAGCCCCCGGCCCTACTTGTCCGTTGCGTTGCGTCATCGCTGCGTCGTCTTCAATATATGACTGGCCTTATTAGCTAATTCGTTCGCACGACGTTTTCACAGATTGATGTTAAGTTAAATTGATATATGGAACTCATACCTAGAAATAACACTTTGGAAATGAGTAGGTACCTACTTAAGATTTTATCGTATTACATGAACGTACTTTATGTGATATGTTTTATTTGTTTAAATCTATCAAATCTTGAAAATTGGTTTATTGATGTAAGATATACATATTTTCCATTTGGGTGTCCATCAGCGGCGCCGATTGCTTACCACCAAACGATGCATCTGATCGTTTGCTGCCAGTAAAAATCTTTTAGGAAATTACAACAGAGTAAGAAAAAGAAATTCAATATTTCAAAATATAGACATTATTTTAATTGAACCGTCTTTCATTTCAAGAATATCTGATGTTTATTTAAGTTTGTTTAGGCATGTGTTCATTGTCTTATCTTCTCAGATTGGTCCGATAGGAAATGCCGGCCTCTTCGGTGTAAAACTGTTACCTTGTAACCGATTTACAAAAATATATATATCGAATTTCTTTACTTTTTTTGTCTTCCTTTATTTTTAATTTTATTTCCAGGCTACATGCTAATACCAGGCCCTTACAAACACAAATTGCTGATGATAAACGGCTTCACATTTGCGCAAATGGGTAAACGGCACTGGTATTGTTCCAAGAGGAAAGTTGGGTGCAAAGCACGCGTCAAAATGGCTGAAGATGGACAGACGATATCCGAAGTGATAAATGAACATGATCACGAGCGTCCTACGTATCATGTCACGACATCGGGTGAATACATCTTTTTCAGAAGTTAAACATGTTGGAACATGGAGCCAGTACACTTGGGATTTTTGCCTCACTGGAGCTACTCTCGCAGCGACGATGAGGTCCTCTAAATGCATAAGTTTTGTAGCGAATTTCCAATAATTGTTTTCCAAGGTTTAAGTCTGTCGTGAATATTAAATAGTTTTGTGGAATAGAGATATATGTAATAAATAATGTATTTATTTATTTATTCCACACATATTACATTCTTAAAATTACATTTTTAAATAATACTTCCAAAAAATATATATAATATTTAAAAATATGATAATAGAAGCGGACCAGTATCGGGATCATGGTCCGAGTTACTGGTGGTTAAAGCTCCATCACCAGAAACCTGACGATACGTGCCGTTTCAAGGAGAACTATATTACATTTATCATTACAGACTAAATTACAGAATATCTAACTGATTTATTTATTTCTTATAACAGATATAACCAACCGAGTATATTTATAGTTCTCTTATAATTCTGTACGTGTGTTCATACGAGTATAGGACTCGGATAAGGCCGAACCAATTTCGATGAAATACAGCTACATGGTATATAGCATTTAGTTAGGCTGGCTATACCTCTATAGTTCAGGCTGGCTATATAGTTCCAACTCCTTCGGTGTTCCAGGTATCTATGATTGACACTAATCGCTTATCTTCGGGTAATGGGTCTGTTCTTTTGCCTCCTATACTGTAAAAAATGTAAAACGTCAGTTACGTTTTACATTGTGGCAATGAGATCTTGTCACGTAAATATTAAGACAAGCTCTACTAGTTTCGAGTCACACTGGGACTCTTCCTCATGTGGAACGTTTTCGAACGCGGCGATGTGTCGCAGCGCAGCCTTCTAATACATCTAAAACTAGCTTTTCTTAATATTAACGCAAGTAAACCGACATTTAAAATTAATTAGTATGTCTCAAATTAGGTATTATACAAAAAGATGGTCTTGTAATTGTAGAGTGCCAGCTCATCACAATGTCTTCAGGCAAACAACTGGTGTACTACAACGGTTACACGTTCTCATTCCGGAATCCATCACGAAGGCACGCTTATTGTTCCAAGTATATTTTGAAGAAGTGTCCAGCCCGGCTTAAGTTACATCCCGATGGCACTCTGCGCACTGCAACAAATACGATGGAACATAATCACCCGCCTCCCAAGTTGTATAAAAATTATGACGGCAAGTTTTTTACTGTAGCATAAAACTTGAATTATCTGCGAATGCCACGTCCTGAGGCCTTAGTACGAGTTTGATTTACGTTTAAAGTATTCGAAACGAGTACGCGTTCGGCGCTGTGATTGGCCGGCTCCAACGAACCAACCAATCAGAGCGCCGGACGAGGTTTCGTTTCGATTACTTTAAACGGAAAAGAAACTCGTACTAAGCCCTCTGTTTATAACTGGGTACTTGCCAACTAGTCAAATTCAATACTTTTTTCGGACTGTCAAAAACGTCAGTTTTCTATGAATTCGTCACGTTTTCTTAGCGTCAAACAGAATACTTACTTCTTAAAAATCTACTGGAAAAATACTGAAAAAATAAATAAATAAATAAAATTAAGTTGGTCATAAAATCAATTAATGAAAGTGTGATTATTTTTTAATATCTTATTGTTATGAACAGCTGAAATAATTTATTTTTAATGGATGCAAGTACCCAATTGTTTAAGATTTTCATGTCTATAAGTATTTATTATCTATACATATTATAAAGTTGAAGAATTGTGTGTTTGTTTGTTTGAACGGGCTAATGTCCGAAACTAAGTATTATTAAGGTAAGGTAGTAATTCACATTACTTGGACATTGTGATTTTAACTTTTAATAGTAGGTAATGTAAACCAAGGCGATTAGAATTCGAGAGATGAATAAATAGTTTAAAATTGTTTTAATACTATTCTGTGTCTATTCATCCTATTTCGAAAACCGAGTGTCAAATGCTTCTAATTTATTTTAAATGTTGACCCAAAGTTGTTATGGATGTAAAATACAATGTACACACGGCTACACATCGAGCTTTACATAACCAGTATAAACTGAACGTTAAATGTGCGGAAAGATGATGCGACGCGATACCAGGATAAACTGGTTTTGTATAGGTTGATGTGTGGCCGTGTGTACTTACTAATATTTCACTCTAGGACTTCATTAATTTTTAATATTTTGTGTCGTAAAGATGTATTTAATAAATAAATAATTTATGTAACAACAGACGCTTTTATTAATTTTATTTAACCAATAAATTATCAACAGCTCTAACTACCCACATTGTAAACTTAATTATGTTTTAATTCTTTGTGTATGTATGTATATTCGTACGTCTCTGTACTCAAAAACGACTGGACGTTGTAATAATTCTAGTGTTAATAATAATTGTGATCTTCTAATTCTAGGGTGCAAGGTCATTACAATGACTTCAGGGATACAGCTAGTATTGTACCACGGCCACACATTTTCATTCCGGAATTCTTCGAGAAGTCGCGCTTATTGCTCCAAGTATAATTGGAAAAAATGTCCAGCCCGGCTTACATTTCACCCTGATGGCACTTTGCAGGGTGCCAAACATACCATGGAACATAATCACCCACCTCCTAAGTTATATAAAAATCCTGACGGCCTGTTTTTTATGGTACAAAGATAATATGGAAATATCCAGAGAAAATAAGACATATTAGGGTTATACTTAAATGATCACCGAGGTTACTCGAGTAAAATCGAGGACTAGAGTCAGGTGCTTGACACTCGCTGCTCGATGCTCATGACTATGGCCCCTAGCATGGCTGAAATAACAAAATCTTTGCAGAACATATTTTTAAAAGTGAATGCTAGTTTGAATTGAACCTTTAGTGTGATTTTTTTAAGGGTTGGAATTGTCAATGCACTTTTTTAGATAAATGTTTAAGATAAATATTACGGTAAATTATGATTTACTTAATCTCTTTCTATTTACTATATTCTAGGATAACTATAACCAGGGTCTTATGGTCGTAGCGATTAACCGGCTTGGCTCCAATCCAGCAGTTAACTTATCATTTAAATATGAACTGTAAGTTGTATGGTGTTTAATATATTTCATAACGTCAATACGAAATGCTGTAAACGGACCGCCCGCGCGCCGTTCGCACGCCGCTAGTGTGCCAACAGCGCGCCTTTTGGTATTGTTTCTAAAGCAAAAAAACACCAAACCGGAGCCGTGCCGGTAGTTGGCTTTGGAACCTTGTATGCCTTCTAAGATACTATCACGAAATATTCATGAAAAAGCAAATTTTAATACCAACTTATCCTTTACAGAAGAGTACGTAATGTTGCCCCTTTCTGGAAAGAAACAAGTGGTGCTGTACCAGAAATACACATATTCCTTTAAAAACACAAAAAAGACCAATGCATATTGTTCTAAATATTCGAAGAAGAAATGTCAGGCGCGTCTGACCTTCGATGCAGATAGGAATATGATAGCAGCCTACACGAAGCATAATCATCCGCCACCAATTTTTATCAAGGACGAGTATTCAGGGACATTTAAGTACCACACTCCTCAGGATCTTCTAAAGTCAGCTAAACGGAATAGGACCGTTAGGAAGAGAGAAAATTTTGAACTTTATTGATTAAGGAATCTTCTATGCGATTCTTCTATTTGTGAAGGGTCAGTTTCTTGACCCAATGTATGAAACAATTGGAAATTATTGTTACCAATCTTATAAGGGGATTGAAAGGTTCAGTTTATTATTTTTATTATTACAAAATACACGTATTGATATATACTATGTTATGTGTCACTGCTGGGCAGGAGGCCCTTCTCTGAAAGAGAAAGTAGGGTTGTATTAATCACCTCGCTTGCTAAAAGTTGGATTCGCAATTCACACTTAAGTAGCCATATTTTAATTACTCAAACATCACATTCTTCATCACATTTTCTTTTAAAGTACATTATAATTATGTCAGTCAGCATTTAGTGTTTGTATACAAACTTGTGTCGGCCAAGTCATTTAGTATGCAGGTAAAAAAGTAAAAATGATTTATTGCTGAGACAGAAGTAGCTATTGTTATATTAAATTGTATCCTTTTTAAGAAAACCATAATCTTTTATATCTATTGGTCAGCTCAGTAGCCAGCCACTACTGAATCAATCTATATTTTTTACATGAACATAGTGCTTGAAAATATAACATTTTGTACTTGTAAGATTCGAATAGTTAGTTTATTAGTTGTATTATGTTAAATATCAAGCGTTTTGCAATAAACTTGCCCCATTTACGATGACATACTCAAATGCTACTCAATTTAAGTCGCGCTTAAGTATACATAGATACATACATACATAACTTCACGCCTGTCTCCCACGGGGGCAGAGACTACGGAACGGCAATTACTACGATTCCTACATACCTCTTTCGCTTCATCAACAGACATCAATCTTTTCATGCATGCTCGTCAGTTAAGGGTACTTTTAATTTGGCCCTTCTTTAATATAACGCCAATCTGGTCACTATATGTCATATGTTTAAGTATAGTTCTGTCATTTCAAATTCTTTGTAAAATCACAGAGATGGCACGGAATTTGAGTACAAATTAAATTTGAGTAGCCTGTCAGTATTCGAACGATAGGTAGTTCCTCATAAAGTAGGTTTATGGAAGTAGATCTTATTTGACAAAAAGGGGGCAATCTATTTTTTTTATTAATTATCTAAATAAATACATTAGGTATGTAATACCTGCTCATTAGCTACAAGCGATTTAATTTAAGTTCGTTTTAATTGATTTTTTAATGACGAATCGAAGTGATTGTTTATACTTATTAATTGTTTATTCCTAAATTGGTTGTCTGAAATACATATTTTTTATCTTATTATATAGATTGTATTTTTTATTTACCCTATTATAACTTGTATTTGTCGTGGGTCCGAAAAATTGAAAATTTCTCCGGATTTTTGCTGTCGTAAAATGATATCATCTCAAAAAACACTTTCAGTTCGGTTTGAATTATACATATAAGTAACGTATTAAATAAATTCATTACATGAAGAAAATATAAAACAGAATTGACTAACACCAAAAGGTTTTAAAGTTAAATTAGTAGTACCTACCTGAGGTACTACTAATTTATGAAACCTTTCATTTAATTGTAAGTTTTATTTCAAGTTCACAAAGGTACA